TGTCTATCTATCTGTCTATCTGTCTGTCTATCTATCTGTCTGTCTATCTATCTGTCTGTCTATCTATCTGTCTGTCTATCTATCTATCTATCTATCTATCTATCTATCTATCTATCTATCTATCTATCTATCTATCTATCTAGGAACAGGGGGCAAAGATACGGGGGGGGGCGAGGTGTGGGGGGGGGGGGGGGGTACAAAGGGTTAGACACCGAGGACCAGAGCAGCTCTGGGATCGGCCTCAACGGCAGGTCTTTCTTCCAAGTGGGCTCCCTCCCGAGATTCCAGGAGCTGGGCCTGGAGAGCAAAAGGGGAGGGGGATCCTGTGCAGGGGGAAGGGGGGGCGGGCGACTGCCTCTGTCCCTTTAAGGAGCTGCTGTTTAGCATTCCTGCTGCTGCTGCTGCTGCCTCTGCCTGGATCTGCGTGCTGATTGGCTGAGCGCAACTGCTCTGGGAGCCAGAGAGAGATGCTCTTGACTCCACTCGGCTCCATCCTGGGGACCAGAGCAGGCGCGGTCCTCTCAGTAGCCAGCCTTCCCTTCCCCCTGGTCCCTCCCCCCTAGCCACCTCTGGGCCTGGGCCCAGGAGCCACCACGGGCGACACGGAGCCACCCGTGCTGGAGGGGGAGCCGTGGGGTCGGGGCAGCGTTGGGGCAGAGGCCCCGGGACGTCCGCCCGGCCCCAGGCCCCGCTCAGCCCGAGCTCCCCCCCGGGTTCCCCCTCCTGCCTGGCCAGAGCCCTGTGATTGTGCCCGGGAGCCCAGTGGGGTAGAAGTGGCTGGAGGCTGGGGGAGCCGAGCAGCAGGGACAACTGCCACGCACAAACATCACCACTGCTGCAAGTGCCCGGAGTGCTACGAGGTGACTCGCCTGGCTGCTCTCAGGCGCCTCGAACCACCCGGCTATGGGGACTGGCAGGTGCCCGACCCCTATGGAGGAGGGGGCGGCAATGGCAGCAGCGGGGGCTATGGGGGCTACAGCTCCCAGACCCTGCCCTCCCAGGCAGGGGCTGCCCCCACCCCTCGGACCAAAGCCAAACTCATCCCCACAGGCCGGGATGTGGGGCCTGTGACCCCCAAACCCGGCCCAGGCAAGAGCACCCCCAAACTTAATGGCAGTGGCCCCGGCTGGTGGCCCGAATGCACCTGCACTAACCGCGACTGGTATGAACAGGTATGGACCAGGGGATAGGGGAGCTTTGGAGGGGATGCTCAGGGAATTGTGGGGTTGGGGTACTGAAGATGGCAGCACGAGGGGACTGGGGCCCAGGCTTTGAAGATTCAGAGAAAATATCAATGCAGCTGGGGAGAAGAGGAAGAGAGAGGGAGAGAGAGAGAGAGAGAGAGAGAGAGAGAGAGAGAGAGAGAGAGAGTGTGTGTGTGTGTGTGTGTGTGTGTGTGTCTGTGTGTGTGTGTGTCTGTACATTTGGGGAGGATATCAGGGGACCCATGTGTGAGGGTGATAACTGTGGGGGCATATTTCCCTGATTTGGGGCATTAGATTTTTCCTCTATGGATATGTATGTGGGGGGACATATCTTGAGGGGAGAAAAAGGATTGTGGGTTTTTCTGTTCATGTGAGTGAAATCATGTATGTGTATGTGTGGGAGAAAGGGGATTACATGGATTTCCATGTGCCTGTATGTTCATGTCTCTGTATCTAGATGCCTATGAGCTATCTCTGCACAGGTCTCTTTGTGTGTGTGTGTGTGTGTGGTGTGTGTAGATGTGTGGGTGTCTTTCTGCATGATGTGCTTGTATGGGCTCTTATGTCTAAATGTATGTGTCTGCTAGCATGTGGTTGCCTGTGGGGGAGGTGTCCGACTGCTGAGCAGTTTGATGGGCAGGGGAGGGACAGGAGGTAAGTGACCCCTCCGGGTCTCAGGGGTCAGACTGCTCAGTAGTAATGTCCTGTTGCTTGGACCAGCGGAGGTGGGCAGATAGATAGATTCCATTGTCCGAGATGTTCCAGTGGGCCTCCTTGCTGTCTCCTTTGTCTCCGAATAGCGGCTCAGTCTCTGAAGTCGGGGGTGGGGGAAGGACAAGGGCAATGGTGGGGGGCCAATTGGGGCAAGCTTGTTCTTTGGGCACACCAGAGGCATGGTGCCTAGCCTAAGGCAGAGGACTAGGAAGATGCCCCAGTGTGGTGGGCTGCCTCAGAGTGGCATGTCGCTCCCTGTGATGCTTCCAGATGGTTTGGAACTGTGTTTCCCTCTACCCTTGACTTGATACCGCTTGCCAGCTCCCTGGGTGCTGGGCACAACCCCGGCTTCTACTCCGAGCCTAGCCGCCAGCTTAGAAAATGGAAGGAGCATGTGTGTGAGGCAGCAAAATGGAGTCTGGGCCGGCAGAACCAGGGCCCTGGCATGCCATACATGGTGGGAGGAAGGGGGTGGATGTCCATCTCTGCTGACAGCTCCCGGGCCAAAGACCTCAGGAAGAAGCGAGGAAGGGGACCTCGGGGTGGGGTGGGGTGGGGTGCTGGCTAATGGCTCCCTGAGCTTCAGCCTGATGGCTGTTCGTTCTCGGGGGCCCTCTGTTCTCCACGAGGGACAGGAACTCAGCAACAAAGGCGAGCTTCTGCCTAACTGGCCAACCTGGCTAGCTGTCTCGTTCCCCTACCTTGTTACTCCAGCCTCCAGCCTCCAGCCTCCAGCCTCCTATCTTCCTACCTTTGGCCTCCTCACTTAACCCTTCCATTGCCCTTTCGCCCCTCATGCCTGTGCCATGCCCTGCCTGGAAGCTGGTGGGCTCGGGAAGGAAGCTGGACCTGCCTCTGAGCATTCAGGCCAGGGATTATGGGAAGGGGTAGATTTGAATCCCTGCCTCCCCCCCCCCCCCCCCCCCCCCCCCCCCCCCAGCCACCTCCAGCCACACATTTAGCCTGAAGCTCAGCTGCAGTGAGAAATGGGGGGATGGACAGTAGCAGGTTGACCAGAGACTTGGAAGGGAGGGCATGTGTGCACACATGTGCTCAGGCTACATGTGTGTCTACCTGCCTCTCTATATGTCTATGCGTGTTTCTCTTTTTCTGGATAAATGAGTCTGTGACCTGATGGTGGGCAGTATTAGGAAGCTAAAAGGTTGGGGTTGGAGAAGCCACACAGTTGTACAGCTGAAGAGAAGAGCTGGGGAAGAGCTGGGAGCTCACAGTGGCGACCCACTCAGATCCCCTTTCAATCTCCACTGAGGCAGAACAGAGTAAAATAAAGGGGGGGGGGGAGGCAGTTAGGCCCCATGAGGCCGTCCTCCCTCCTCTCCCCTCGATCACCCCCTCCAATTTCCTTGCCGACCACACTGCTATTCAGCCCGCTGCCTCAGGGGCTACCGGGGCTTCTCCCGAAGATAAGAAGTGTGAGGTTGTTAGGACCTGGGGAAAAAGGCTGGGAGGAGTTACGGGGGCGAGAGCTGGCACCAGCGGGGGCGGGGAGCCGGCTGTCTGTCTATCCAGGAGGTGTTCTCTGTGTGGTGGCTCCGAAATGGCTCTGTATGGTGTCTGTCTGTCTAGCCATTTCTCAGATGACAAGTTGGGGTTTTGTTCTTTGGGGCATCACTACCAGCCCCCCAGGCTATTCTCCCCTGAGAGATGCTTGAGCTCCCTTACCAACAGTGGCTTCTCCCTTGTGTGGGAGTACGAGCCCTATCTTCCCTTCTGCCCTAGCCCTTCCTAGTGTCTGAGCTGCAGAGAATCAGTCCAGGGGGTGGGGAATGGGCTGGAGCAGGATTGGACTGGGGGCCTGGACCCCTGCTCTTCACTGGGGCGGGGCTGGTTTCCTGAGGGGACACCACGCATAGTTCTGGTAGGGAACAGTGTCTGATATGGGCCCTAGCCTTGGTGGGTCAGGGGACAGCTGGCTGGGGCAAAAAGGGCAAAGGGCGAGCCAAGGGCAGGGGGCTCATCCTGTTCTCCTGCCATGCTCTGTCTCTGCCATCAGGCCAGCCCTGCACCCATCTTGGTGAATGCAGAAACCCTGGAGCCCAGTCTTTTGGTGAGTGTGCCTCTCCATTCCAAGCTGAGGAGACTGCTCTGGCCAAGTGCCCTCCTAAACCAGTCCTGCCCCCGAGAGGGGTGGACATGTGTGCACGCGCTGGCGAGCTCTCCAGAGACTACCCCCACCCTCTGAGAGCAGAATGGATTAAGGTGCCAGTCTGGCCCATCTTTCCCAAGAGGCCCTCCCTGGGGTGGATTTAGGCTCTTCTGCTCTGGGGAGGGGAGGGGAGGTGGGAGGTTGGGAAGGCAGAATGATGGGTGGGTGGGAGGATAGGAGAATAGGAAGGCACTTGAGGAACTCTGTCTCTCCCCAGGTAAATGGAAGTGATGGGATGTTCAAATATGAGGAGATTGTGTTGGAGCGGGTAAGTCTGACATCAGGGAGCAGAGGCAGAGGCAGGGGCAGCAGCTGAGACCTACCAGGGGAAGGCAACCCTGGAGAGGAAAGGGGGTTCAGGCCACATCCATGCTGGAGGTTACTGCTGAAAGGGCTGCAGCAGGTCCACCAAGAAAAGAATGGGAAAACTGAGGCTTCCTGATACGGTACCCCAGCATGAGCCATTGAAGGAGGGCCTAGGGGCTAGAAATCCAGCTCAGCAATCAGAGTTCCAAGGGGACTCCCGGAAGCAGCACAAAGTTCTCTTTCCAGCCCTCCCCTATTTCCTTCCTCCAACTCCCCCAAGGAGCACCCAGGAGCCTTCTTGCTTCTTGGCCTTGGGGCCAGGAATCCCACTTCCAGGTGAGAGGAACAGGCTGGATGTCCCTGGAATCCATCTCACACCATTCTCTAAAGGCCATGGGACCAATTTGCTCTCTTAGAAACCCCCCAGATGTAGCCCACTGGTTGAGGGCAGGGAGCAGAAATGTTTGCATGGCGTGGATGCAGATGTATGTATATCTGCTGGATATCTGGCCATCCCAAGCCCCTCCTGCGGCTGAAGTGCCCATTTAACACCCCCCCACCCCCACCCTGCTGACTATGAGGAAGCCTGGTCCCAGGAAGGAGGGAAGGGAGAGTTCACGAAGGCTTTTCTTCATTTCCTACTTGAGCAGATTGGGTTCTCTTTTCCTAACCCCTACAGGGGAACTCAGGCCTGGGCTTCAGCATCGCAGGGGGAATCGACAACCCACATATCCCTGAGGACCCTGGCATCTTCATTACCAAGATCATTCCAGGCGGGGCAGCTGCCATGGACGGGAGGCTAGGGTGAGCTGGGGAGGAGAAGGGGATGGGTGTCAGCAGAGCTATGAGATGTTTGGGGATGGTCCCCCCCACCCCCCACCCCCAAGGGAGGCGGGGAGGAAGGGAGGGAGCATGTCCCTCAGTGACTGCACTGACAGGTATCCAGAGGCCTTGCAGATAGGAGGCAGCATGGTGCAGTGGGTAGAGCCCTGGATAGGGAATCAGAAGACCAAGTTTTGGCTCTCCAGCTTAATTTAGCTGTGTGACCTAGGACAAACTGCTTCCCTTCTGAGTTTTACCTTCCTCGGTTATAAACAGGAGAATAATGCTTACCTCTCCTGAGGCTTGTGGAGTGGTAGGGCAGAAAGTGCCCTGTTGGTGGGGAAGGTGAGGAGGTAGCCGATGACGAAGTGTCCCATGGGGCGCTCTGCAGGGTGAATGATTGCGTGCTGAGGGTGAACGAGGTGGACGTCTCAGAAGTTGTCCACAGCCGAGCTGTGGAAGCCCTCAAGGAGGCCGGCCCTGTTGTGCGCCTGGTGGTACGAAGGAGGCAGCCGCCGCCTGAGACAGTGGTGGAGGTCAACTTGCTCAAGGGGCCCAAAGGTGCGTTGACCCCTGTGGGCTGGGCTGCATGTCAGGGCTTTTCCCCGACCTGACCTCCCATCTCGAGTAGACTCAGGTTTCGCTCACCTAGTCCTCCGATGGGGGATGCAGACGCAGGCAAGGGGGATGGGCGGCCTGCAGCTGCCCAGGGCGGAAATAAAATGTCTGCCTCTCTCCCCCCCCCCCCCCCCCCCCCCCCCCCCCCCACCCCACCCCCTTCCCCCACTCGCTGTCTCCCTGGCCCTGCTCTCTTGCTCCAGGCTTGGGCTTCAGCATCGCAGGTGGTATTGGGAATCAGCACATCCCTGGAGACAATAGTATTTACATCACAAAAATCATTGAGGGAGGTGCTGCCCAGAAGGATGGACGACTGCAGATTGGGGACAGGCTGCTGGCGGTGAGACCCTGCCCCCTCTTCTCTAGGACATGGGAGGGGAGGGGGCAGGGCGGAGGAAGGGTGGTTATTTGCTGCCCTCTCTATTGCTTTAACGGGGGAGTTGATCCCGTGCCCTGGAGAGAGCCTTCCCGTCCACGGACTCCATCATTTGGGGGGGTCTCAGTTGCCCAGGGGCCCCCTGCTCACCCGTCCACTACACTTGTGCTGTAATTATGATTTCGGCCAAGACTTTCAGTTCGGTCATAGGATCGTAATAGATTTTGAGCGAGGAGGGGCCTCAGCCCACGGAGTCCCTAACGTCCCGCTTCCTAAGCTTAAGTCCCGCCCCTCAGTGGCTCGAGACCAGACCAGTCACGTGGGAGCTGATCCATCCCATTCACCAGCTCCCTGACGATTAGAAGAGCCAACCGACAGCTGCAAAGGTCCATCACACTCCCTTCACCTCTATGAAGAGCCACGCCTCCTCGGGCCCTCTACCCTGCAGGGGCCAGGCTCCCTCTGCTCCTTTGGTGTGCCAGCCTTGCTCCCTCTGCCCACGCAGGTGAACAATACCAACCTGCAGGACGTACGGCATGAGGAAGCTGTGGCATCCCTGAAAAACACATCTGATATGGTCTATCTAAAGGTGGCCAAGCCAGGCAGCGTGCACCTCAACGACATGTATGCACCACCTGACTACGCCAGCAGTACGTACCCACCTGGCCCTCAGCCCTTGGCTGTAGCTGCTACCGGCCCCATATCAGAGCATGTTTCCCTCTCTTTGGAGCCTACACTTTGATTTGCAATCTGAGGAGGTCAGCAGGTCAGGGCTTCAGATCCTGGGCCTTGGGTAGGGGCATGGGAGAACGCTGCGGGTGGAGGGAGGCTGCTGGAGAGGATTTGGGGGGCGGGGGGGGGGGGGGGAGAGGCAGCCCTTGACTGTTTTCTCCCTTCCCCTACTCCAGCTTTCTCTGCCTTGGCTGACAACCACATAAGCCATAACTCCAGCCTGGGCTATCTGGGGGCTGTGGAGAGCAAGGTCAGCTATCCTGCTCCTTCCCAGGTTCCCCCAGCCCGCTACTCCCCCATCCCCCGGCACATGTTGGGTGAGGAGGACTTCACCAGGTAAGAACCCCGGGGACCCATCCTACCCTGGCTGAGTTGGGAGTGCTGCGGAGGCTAGGATGCCAGGGTGTAAGTGGGGGCAGCCCCCACCCCCCCGGGTTACTTGTTTGTAGATGGAAGACAAAGTTCAGGTCGGCCCCTGGCCCCTCCCCCGCTTCCCCTTCCTTCCTCTTCTCCTTTTCCCGTTCTCTTGCTTCGCTGAGCTGCCCCAGTCTTGTGGCCCTCTGACCCCAGTCACACCCCTCCTCTTTCTCTGTGTGCCCTTTCGTCCCTCTGGTGCCTGGATACTCCCCTAGGCCCTCTCATGGTTCTCCCTTCCATTTCTCCTTTGCTCCCTCTCTTTCTTCATCCCCCTTCCCTGTCCCTTTTCTTTTTTCTCAGTAGAGTGTTAGGTTTGGCGGGAAGGCCCAGCCCGCCTTGGTAACCGGGTGGCCTGGCGCAAGCGTCTCCCCTTTTGTGCGCTTTAGCCTTCCCTTCTGCCAAGCCGGGGGCTGAGCCAGCTCCAGCCCAGACAGCCCTGGCATCGGGCGGCCTGCTGTCTGCTCACCCTGCTGCTGGCTCCCTGTCCCACCCTTCAAGGACAAAGCGCTAAGTGGCTAGGGAGAAGCGACCGGCGGGGCGCCCTTCCGTGCACTGCCAGAATTGGGGGGGAGCTTAGCACCCTTGGTCTCGCTCCGTCCCCCAGGAGGTTAAAGGCAGGGGCTGCTGGGTAATCACAAAACCGCTAAATTCATCGAATTAACGTTAGGATTAGGCCTCAGAGGCCTCGAACCCTTGGCCACTCGTGGGGGGCCCCCTTCCGCGTAATGTCAAGATGGCCCCCGGGGCCTCGGAGCTTCGCGCCCTCCTCCCTCTCCCGCCGCTCTCCCGCCGAGCCCAGGGGGCGCACTGAGCCTGGAGCCTCGAGGCGGGAAGGACCCCTCCGGCCCAGAAGGCGGCGGTGGAGCGCATTACCCTAGCACCCTAGCGGCGCTGGGAGAGGCCACGCCCCGGATGTCGCTCCAGGCGCCTTTTCCGGCCGAGGCACATTGAGGCAGGACGCGCACCCAGGCGGACGCGCAGCCAGGCACTCGCGCCCAGAGGCAGCTCCCGCTGAGGCCGGCCCAAGAGCCCAGGGGCCCAGAGCGGGCTCCTGGGCCTAGTGGAACCATCTCTCTTCCGAGCCATGCTTCGAGGCCCGATGCCGCCACGGGAGGGGCTGGACGAGGAAGCCGAGGCATCGGGGGCCACGGAGCCAGTGTGGAGGGACGAGGAGGAGGAGGGGGAAGAAGAGGAGGAGGAGGAGGAGGAAGAATAACAGGAGGAGGAGGAAGAGGAGGAGGAGGAAGAGGAGGAGGAGGAAGAGGAGG